CAGACCCAGAGTTGGACGTATGCTGCCGTATGTAGAGCTGGAGGTCTGCCTACGTTTTATATCGACCCTAAAAAATCAGTCATGTTTCTGTTTATGTCCCACTGAAGAATGGCCCAGTCCGAGAACAACGCAGTACCAACAAATACTGTGTGTACAGTGTATGTGTATAATTAAACCATGAGAAGTGAAGAGAGAAGATGGATGGATGGATGGATGGATGGATGGATGAATGGATAGATAGATAGATGGATAGATAGATAGATAGAACTTTATTCCCTTTGGGAAATTAAGGTTTAAGCAAATTAAGTACAGATTGGACTGAATTTATGAATTTAATTTGAAACCTAATTTGAAACGTCTTTCATCTTCAGTTCATTCCTTTGTTCAATTCATACCTTAATTTAGTCTTCATCATAACAAACAGGCATCCTGTCTATTCTTAAAAAAAAATCAAACATATCCACAAGCTGGGAGGATTAAAGGAAAGACAATATGTATGAGAGAAAAATGCTCCAGGCATCTTCAAAAACCGACTGGAAATACAAAACTGTCAAGTTCAAGTTTTGATGGATTTCTAAAAACGCAGTTCTGAGCATCACTCCTGATCGACACAGCCTGGCACTGAAATGCTCCAGCCACAGGCGGTCATTCAAAAATCACTAACTGCTCTATTTAAATTATTTTCCTGTCAATATGTCCGTGTCACGTCAGTAGATGCTTCTCCCACGGCTGTTTCAACGCTCGCTTCACTATTTCTAATTCACTCTGATAGCCCACTTACATTTCCCATCCCGACAGCAAATAACAGTTCAATGTGGAGTTCGTTAGCACTTTGTGAACATTTACCACGAACAGACAGTGAAATTGATGGACGATAGTGAGTTTGTCAAGAGACGGAATGAAAACTTTACCGTTCCGGCCCTCTGAAAAACTCCCTCATTAGTGCTAATAACAATGTTTGTAATTGCTATAGAGACACACACACAAAATATTAAAAGAAAATTAGTTCTTACCTTCGAGACAGACGATACAGTAGCGGCTAAAGGAGGAGGAGGGAGGTGGCCCGTTCGTTGACACTTGATTCAGTACCGTACCTTACACGTACACTACGTAACTTACATAAACTTAGAGGGAGATTTGTTTCTGTCTCCCTTTCAAAATGCTACGGAAATGAGTAAGGCACGTGTCGTCAAAAAGCGACCATTTTGGGGGTGTTTATTTTCAATGAAATCACGATAAAAAAACACAACACGGAAGACTCGCGGGAGATGCGTACGGAAGTCGACGAACGCGTGGGGCTTCTCCGAGTGCTCTGCCGCCTAGCGTCGGCGGCTGTAAGCGTGCTTGTATGTCAAATCAAAAATTTACTCGAAGGCTGGCTCGTATCTCGGAATGCTCATATGTCGGAACGCTCGTACCTCTAGGTATCACTGTAACTGTAAAGAGCGGTGGCTATCAATGTCTTTTAATATTAATAATTAATAATAATAGCCACCCTTTTCTGATATGTAACACATTCAAAAATTCGAAGAAAATCATTTTAAAAACAATACTAAATTTCCACATTGCATTTGATATTGATGTCAAATTATTTCTTCTTCACCCTGTACGCCTGAATGGGCTTCTTGTTTTTGGCTCGCAGTCATCATGTTCACCCTGATACCTGAAAGTGCACAAATGGATTTACATGATTTTATCTTAACAGGCCTGGAGCCAAAGAACAATTGATTATATTTTGGTACAGATCCAGATCTGGGATTTCCACCATCAAACTGTTATCGTTTTTAATCCTAAACTAGGAAATTAAGGCAGATAGAGGCCTGTTTCCAAATCCTGGTCTTAACGTCTCTCTTAGTTTGATACCACAGAGTCTGATGCCTCAACGGGTCTGGACCTCAGCCAGCATTGCAAAAACTGCAGGGGAGAGGAGAAGGGGGGTGGAGGGCACTTTTAATGCCTTTCATTTTAATGAATTTTGCTGCCTCTTCTTTTGCCGCTGCTTCGTCATTAGTTGCAGAATTTCTTCAGCGATGTCGCTCTCAGAGAGACACTAACTCAGATGTACAGTACGTCTACATCTACAGTATGCCCGCGCCGCTCAGGTAATTACAGTTCTGAGCCACCTGAGGGGGCACTGTGGCTCCTCGAAACCCCAGCACCTTTGGCAAATAGTCGTACGGTGAGGAGGTGGATGTACGTTTGAAAAATGTGATTGTGTGGTGCTTCGTGTGTGTGTGTGTGTTTGAGTGTTCATGAATTGCCAAGTTAGAACTGCATTAAACGAGGGGAGTTTGAGGGCAGCGCCTGATGTGAAGTGGGTGATGAAATGAAGAGCTATTTACGGAGTTCTGAAGGAGCTAAGGCAGGAGCGCCAGCTAGGAGGAGACTAACTCTCTCTGAGACTCGTTTGGTGCTGACGGTGTTGACGGAGGCATAGCTGTTTAGTCAAAATGGTCCATATTTTATTTTTATTACAGCGCAGACGCGCCGTACCTACACAGGCCTGGAGCGTCTGTATATGACTTTACACCTATATGACTTAATGCAGTTATGGTTCTATTTGGTAGTAATGTGCCAGCAGCTCTAATATACTCCGCAGATTCGATACCAATTGCATAAACAAAGGAGTGGCATTATCAATAAATAACCTAAATGTATTCATAATTAAGGATGCTGCAGGTCTCTTCCTTCTTTGCCCCCGTCACAACCGCAGCAACAGTTAATTGCTTTGTGCCTGAGATGGGCACTTCGAGTGCTCGGGAAGTCAGTTTGACAGCGACCTGTCCTGCTTCCAGCACAAAGTGAAACCCCAGTCGACACTTTGCCTTCCAGATCACAGCCATTTTCATTTCCACTGTGGTGAGCAGGAGCACTGAGGCCTGGACAGGAGGTATATGAAGCCAAGGGGGATGAAGCCGGTCAATGACGGGGAGCCTGATTACTATTTGCATTCTGTGTGTGTGTGTGTGTGTGTGTTTCATTGAAGGCGCTGCTGGCAGTGTAAATATCTAAAGCAAATGTCTTCGCCAGCGTCTCAATTACAAGTGCACAACACAAGAATGGCACACTGCAAGGATTCCTGAATACAAAGAGCACAGCCCTGTGGTCCCCAAAGGGCGGGGGGGAGGGGGAGACAGTGGGGGGGGGGCTTTGATTTATTTACAAACTGTTGGGCTCTGTGATAAGTCACAGCGGCAGTAACAACAGAGTTAAGCACTACTGCTGTTGCTGCTGGTGGTGGTGGCGGTGCACGCTCGTGTTGTCGCCACAATGAAAGAAGTTCTAGAAACGAAAGCAGGGCTCTCATCTCGCTCAGCATCTCTCTGCCTGACATGAGGCAGCTCGTTTGTCCCGGGCTATCACTGCCACTCTTCCATCTCACGATCATCCCTCTGCTGCAAGACGAGGGCAACGCTGTACACGCCATCAGCCTCTCAAAGGGTGTGTGTGATTGTTTACATACACAGGTTTGACATCTGTGCTTCTGACAAGTCACAGCCTCCGGTGCAAATGCCTTCCTCTGTAGAGTGACTGCCGAGAAATCCTCCTTCGTGCCTGTTACGTTACATTTTGTTGACGAGCGGATGACGACGTCTCGTGGAGAGAACCAAAGTCTTCCTTGTCTCATGGGGGATATAAAAAAACAAAAAAAAACCAAAAATACAACATTTAGAATTTGGATCGCTACAAATGAAATAATAATAATCACTCTTTAAATGGCTGAGCTCAGATCTGCTGTAACTGTGAACGACCCTGACAGGATTTTTTTATACGACAGACAACATCAGATGAATCTGGGTCATTTTTTTTGTTTCGTTGTTTTTTTTTCAGACACACACACGCAGAGAGAGCAATTCAACACATTTCTTTTTGTGCTACTACAGATTTGCGGCCAATTTCTGTGGCGGTGTCAGAAGCTTTTTTTTGTGAGATTTGAGAACAATCCTTTAAATATCAAAGTTGTGTCTGAGCTACAAAAAAAAAAAGAAAATCGTGAATCTGATATTCAGGTAAAGCTGGGTAAAGACAGAAAACAGAGTGAAGCTGAAAACAATTTCTCTGGGCTCTGCTCACAACACGGACGGGGGAGATTTTTGGGTGGACTTGCGTGACCTCTGTGTGAGAGGGGACAGACCTAGATGATTTAATGTGATCTATTAGCACTCTTGTTAAACTATTTTTGACCCTTCCCTCCAGCCTGTCATACATTATACCAGGATGTCCAATGTCCTTTGTTTAAAAACAAAGTAATTTTTTGGCTAAAACCGATGCTCCAAACCTCACGGATCCAAGCCCCGCTGCTTGGGTCCGCCTCCACTGCTGCAGAGATGCTTATTTCTCTTGATTTCACCCACAGCTGGTGCTGAGAGAGTGAGTGAGTGAGAGAGAGGGAGAGAGACTAATTCTGCAGGAGGGGCATGGGAGGGGAAGGTAGAGGAGGGGGCATCTGCACTCTCACTCTGTTTAGTCCTCACTAGATGGCAGTGTAGTGCAGCAGTATCTTTCGACATGGTTTCACCAGACTTGTGTGATTTAAGAAACTTTCCCACCCACTCTCTCTGTCTCTCTCTCGCTCTCTCTCTCTCCTGAAACTACAGTTACAGCGATGAAAATGCAATATCCTCTCTCAGAGCAACTGCATAAAGACAGGTTTACCAACCCTCCCCCCCGCCGTCTTGACGTCTATTTTAATATCTGGCCAACATCACACCGTGACCTCTGACTGCACTGGGTGTGCTCCTCGACTTAAGCCATCCTGTGGGTGTGGCCGGGCGAATATAGCAAGAACTCAGGAAATTAATGTTTTATCAGCTTGCACAGAGAAAACAACAACAGAGAGAGAGGTGGGCGTGGCCAGTGACGGACCTTCTAATTTTAACTCATCAGCTGTTGCCAACTAAAACACGATCATCAGAGGAAAGTTTCCTGTTGCGTTTCCCTTCCAAAACATCTGGAATCTCTTAAGGATGATCATGTGGTTGTTTAGCGAGAGCACAAACAGTTTAGTCTGTTTTTGTTTTTTTTGGTTTTGTTTGCATACTCCAGTATGAATTTTAATCTGTGTAAAAACAGCACCTGTGGTCCTCTGTCACGTACATACAGTACGTTGTCTCTGAACTGTTGACTCGGCTACGGCTGGTGCACTCAGGTGCTGTAGAAAGGGAGAGAGAGAGCAGCACATCCTACTCACTCGCTCCATTCATCGGTGAGTGGGAGGAGGTGAGAGCAGGCGAGTATTCACTCTGAGCAATGTCATCCACCGGGCTCTGTCAATATGCAGACGAAAAACATGCCTGACGAGAACGTACTGCACTTTTTATATCAATATATTTAATAGAATTTGTAGCTCTTTGACGCCTCCCAAAAGCACATTCCTACAGAGGAGACCATACATGTTGTAGGTGGAGACATTTGAGTTTTTACTTGACCACTCCTGTCTCCTCTGAAAGCCTGGACGTCTCCTGTCAGGTTTCCTGTGAGAATAGACAGCTCAGTGTCACAGAAGAACACAGAGTTCAGAGGAGATCACAAGCAGAGCAGCAGTTTCCCGGCTCCTCTGGGGAAACCAGATGAACCCCTTCAAAGTGATAATGTAAATAGTTCTGGTGCAACTGTGGGAGTTTGAGGCAAACCTGAAGGATCCTCCTGCAGGATAAGAGTCAAAGCCTGCGGCCAACGTCAGTGGTATTTCTTTATAGCTCGTAGGTAAACAACACGGCGGATCACTTTTAAAGCATTTGGAAAGATAAGACAACTCGAAGGTCTGTTTGTCTCTCATTGGGAATGCTATGAAAAGTGTCTGGTTAGACTTGTATTTCTTAATGTCGCCGAATTCAACTGTTCACGAAGCAGGAGATTCGTGTTGCCTAACTCACTCGTCTGCGGCTGCACTGTTTTAAACAGCTGCTTCCAATTTGTGTCACTCTTTCAAGCATCACTCTGAACAAGCATTTGTTGACTTAGGATGTGAAGCTGGAGCAACACGGGATTTCATAATGTGCTGGCCCCGACGATGTGAGCTGCAGACGGCCGTAAAACCAAAACAACAAAAAAAGAAAAACCAGGTCGTGACCCTAAACCTTTCACCCATGCATTTTTTTTTACACAATTTATTTTTATGTATTCTACATTAGACTGCCTTTTACAATGTCATCACCTTCCCTGGAATTTAAATGCTTTTCCTTTTTACGGCAGCAAATTTGGATATTTCCCAGAGTGCAGTAAATGTCAGGTTTCGGCGTAAAAAAATTGTGCGGCATTACTGAAACTGATAAATCACCTTCTGGTGTTGCGCCGCTGGTTTGAACGTGATAACGAGGAATCCATTAGCTGGACCACTACCTCAGCCACCGCACGCTGACCACCAGCTTTCAAACATGGAGTCCTTCCAAAAACAACCACAGCAGAGATGTCGCTCAGCTGTTTTACTCCAGCTAACATCGGTCCCTCACCGCCCGTGCCGCTGTGGTCTTTTCATGTGTTGCATCTGATTAAATGATCGCGTGTTTGCCAAGTCTGTGAAGTCGCTGTTCCAGCTGTAACGATGCAAATGGGTTGTTCTCGCCCCACACCGTGCTGTGGGAGTGCAGACAGACTCATTTTTGAAAGATGCCAGTGAGGTGATAGTCGTCTCCTTCACAGTCCCCAGTTTGATGCAAAATCTTGGACACACATTTGTGTATATTTAAACTCATGGAGGTTCTGGAAAACGATGGGAAAATGGCTGGATATTAACGATATTTTAGCGTAATCCTGAAAAATAACACCTATAACAGGTGTTATGTTATAACAACCTCCTTTCAAACGGCCAAAGTGCTTCGAGAGAAACGTTTTCCAAACGGCCAAAGTGCTTCGAGAGAAACGATCCTACTGATCCGAATCTAATCATCAGAAAGATTAGAATTAGTCGAGGAGGCAGCATAGCTGCTGTTACATTTGTCATCAGCTCGTGTCTGTTTTACACGCTTAGATTTACATTTGTCATTAGCTCGTGTCTGTTTTACACGCTTAGATAAAATCCCCCCTGTTTGTAATGGTGGCTGTTATTTGGCGCTCACTCCTTCTCTCTCCCCCTTCTAATTTTACTTGAGGCAAGAACCAGCGTAAGCAACGGTTGCCGTAGCAACGATGCAAATACACACATGCAAAGTTGCAGTTTTGTAAATTTGGAACCGATCGTTTATCGTTCTTTATCCCAGACAATTAACAACAAATCATTTCTACCCAATGCAGGCTCTGAAAAACCGGACTGTACCGTGAATACTGCACTCTGTATTTCCTTATTTATCTCACTGCGGTGTCTGGTGATATTTGCAGCGTAGGCCAGGTTTAGACCCATGTCTTTCCCTTGACAGCTTGAACAGGAGGGTCAGTAAAAAGAAAAAGAGGAATGGTCTTATTTTTGCAGAGTACAACAGCTCTGCAACCGTTCTTCAAAATGATTTTACTGTAACAGATTTAATTATTAACATCTACAGAACCAAAACTGAGGGAATAAATAATCTGTGAGAACTACCAAAGTGCAGGGACATTTTTAGTTTGACAGTTGCTTTATATAAATATAACTGCTTCTCTTGTCAAAAATTAATAAATAATTACAATTAGGAAATGTCGGAATTGTACAAAACTGAATGAAAAAAGGCTTGAGTTTTAATGAACACATAGAAATATAAATAGGTCACATCACCAAGCACCAAACACAACACAACAGATGGCTGGTTTGTTCAGACGTCATTCTCAAACGGCTGACACAGAAAATGTTCTGGTGCATTTTTTCGAAAGTGTTGTCAGTAAGAGTGGTTTTGCTTCTCAAAAAGTTGTTTTTTTTCTGGAAGCTTCTACGTCCATCCAGTGCTTCACGGACTCAGAGTTGTAATAAAAGATTGTATTTTCTGACAAGCTAGAATTACCAAAGTGTCGTGCCCCAGGGGTGCACAAACAGCCACTAGGGGTTGTGCGAGATAAAAAAAAAGTTTATATATATATATATATATATATGTTTCGGCTATACATGTATCTGTGTCCTCGACTGTGTGGTACTGGGGCTGCGTCAACGCAGTTGAGATATGAAACGCGGTGCACTTCCAAAAAGGTTTGGGAACCGCTGAGTGAGAAGAAGCCAAGCTTCACAAGCTGTCCCAGAAATCCCCACCACTTCACGTGTGTCGGAGCTCGATGCCGTTGTGACCTTTGCCCTTGTCTTCTACCACAGGACAGTGTTTTGAATATTTGATGGAGTTCAGGGTTAGGCCGTTCCTTCCCCTTCCACAGGCTGCTGCATTAATAAGAAGGAAGTGCTCACACATGTGCAGACCTTCAAACATGGGATTGATTTGGAAAAAAGGGAAAATATTTTTACATAAAAAGGAAATGGAAGTCGCATGTGATCGTCAACCTGACGTCAAAACATCCAACACATTGACCCCTCCTGCCCAAGACACACAAACAACTGTACTATTATTTGAATCATGAAGGTCAAATTAGTCATTCACAACAAACGAAGAAGAAAAATCATCATGTGCCAGTCAGTGTTTTTTTAAAAAAATAAACATTCTCAGTTCTTAGCAGGAGGCACAGCCTTTTTTCCCATGCTCTGCTCATTTGCTGTGAAAACCACCAGCCAGCTGTCCAGAAAACACTCACCAAATTGAGAAGTGTTGTGATGAATATTTTACCAAAAATAATAATAATTTAAAAATACAACAAAAAAATGTAATAACCT